ATGGAGTACTCATGGAGTGCTCTGTGTGCAGAATCTCCATCCCGCTGGAAGTAGAGCTGCTCTGGGTCGATTTCCAACTCCTATAAAAAGGTGGAATAAAAAAGTTATTTTTAACATGTCCACATATCAATCTGAATTCACGGTTACTGAGTTTCCACCATTATCTTCAAAGAAGTAGTGTCCAAAAATTCTCTTCTTGGTCGAAACTGCACACCAGACTGTCACTTTGGGGCTGTGTAAAGGCTTAGTATGAAGGACTTTAGGATTTTCAGCACTCCAGTACCGCATATTATGTTTGTTGACGTGACCAGAAAGGTAAAAATGTGCTTCATCAGACATTATTAACAGGTTCGACAAATTTGGCACTTGATTTTTGATTGTCAGTATTTGATCACAGAACATACCCTTTGATTGTAGTCTGATGCTTTTAGTTCTTACACAGCTAGAATCTTGTAAGGATATAAATGAAGGTCTTGATGCGAAATTCTTCGTAGAGATCTGTTAGAAATCTGAAGTGCCAACACTTGTTTCCTGGCGGACCTCTTTGGACTTTGGTTTACGGCGACTCACACTATTTCCACATTGGCTGATGTACTTGCGGCTTCCACCAATTTTCTTTGTGTTGACGCCGTACTTCTAAATAATTTTACCTAGTTCCCTATAGTTTTCTGATCTGGAACAGCATCATATCGTTCATCGTTGAAATGTGTTCTAAACAAATCCCTTCGGAGTTTTTACAAAAAGAATCACTATTCTAAAAAAAAGTTTCCACAGCAAAAGCACGATTCTCAGAACTACAAAAAGCACTGTTTGTTGACTTAAGTGAAAGTAAATTACTAACACCTAAGGTTTTTACTGTTACAATAATTATCTTGTTTTATTTTACTGAAGTACACACACAACATTTTTACTCAAAACATAACTTATTCAATAATTCTCATTACAATAAAAACAATCCTAACTATTTACACATGATCAGCTGTTACCAACATAAATTAAATTAAATACAGAACAAGTAACAGCAAACATATTATATAAAAATAAAATTACATTCAACACCTTCCCTTAATTTTAATTTTATACAAGAATATCTCGATTATCGTCTTCTGTTTAAGATTTTGGATAGTTGATCAAAGCTTTGCTAAATTTATGAATCTTTACATTTTTGTTCAAAGGTTTTGTAAACATATCCGTAACATTCTCGGATGTAGAAACAAAAGAAATGTTTATTTTACCTTGCCTTACATTTTCAGTCAAAAAATGGTAGCGAACATCAATATGTTTGCTTCGCTTATTAAAAATTCCATTTTTACAAAGCTTAATAGCACTTTGATTGTCCATGTTTAGGTTTGTTTGAACATTAGTTCCACTCAACTCTTGCAAGAAAGTTTTTAAATATAACACTTCTTTGACACATTCCGCCGCTGCAATGTATTCTGCTTCAGTACTGGACAAAGTTACAATCGGTTGTCTTCTTGTACACCAGCTTATTGGGTCTTCTCCATACATTATGACAAATCCAGTAGTACTTCTTCTCGTATGCTTGCAATTTGCATAGTCTGCGTCACAATATACATTTAGGCAATTTTCTCCTGATGCTGAAAATAATATTCCTGCGTTTTGAGTACCTTTAATATATCTTAAGGTTCGTTTGACATTTACAACATCTTCATTGCTTGGATTCTCAACACATCTACTTTCTAATCCCACAGCAAGTGTAAGATCAGGTCTGGTTTTATTGGATAAGTACAGCAAACTTCCTACAACTTCTCTGTAAGGATAATCTTTTGTCAGGCAGCTTACTTCTTCATCAGGTTTGTTCGTTTTCACTGGACAAATGGGAGTGTCTACAGGTTTACAATCTATCATTCCATATTTTCGAGAATACTGTTTGAATAGTTCTTTTGTGTTAACAATATCCCTTCCCTTGAATATAAAATTTCCATTCCAAGAAAGTTTGATGGGTTTTCGTCTGTTTTTATTTTAAAATCTCTAGACAGCTCGTTCAAAAGTTTCTTCATCTCTCTTTCATCTGAACCAGCAAGAATCCCATCATCAACAAATATAGCTAGATGAATACTGCCATTTGTAAAAACACAACGGTCAGACTGAGTTTGTTTTAAGCCATATTTTAGTAAGCAGTTTGTAAACAACTGGTTCCATTTTAATGGAGCTTGTTTAAGTCCATATAAAGTCTTTCTTAATTTCAAAACTTTATCTTTATGATCAAACCCTTCAGGTACACACATATAAATTTCTTCATCTAAATTTCCATAGAGAAAAGCAGTTTTAATGTCAAATTGCATTAATTTGAGATTTTGTTTGGCAGCTACTGAAAATAACAAACGTAAAGTTGAATTACTTACAACTGGGCTGTAGGTTTTTTCATAGTCTATACCTTTTTCTTGGGCAAAACCTCTTACAACTAGTCTCGCGTTGTATTTTCCGTTATCCTTTCTTGTTACACTTGTTACTTAGGATCTTCTTGTTTAGGCTTGCTTTTTGTCAACCACTTCCCACGTTTCATTCTCAATAAGGGAGTTTTTCTCATCCTCAATTGCTTGTAGCCAATTTTTTTTATCTGGTCCTTTGATTGCTTCTTCATATGTCAACATCACAAAATCCTTATATCTTTCAGGTAGTTTATTTTTTCTTCTTAGTTTGATGCTTTGTGTAGTATCAGTATTACTTGAACTTGGCTGTTCTTCATTGATTTCATTTTTGTCTGAAACCAACTCAAACTCTATTTCATTATTACTTATCTCACTTAGATTATCTGCACTCTCAATATCTTCATTTTCAGTTTTGTCTTCTTTCTGGTCATTTTCATTTTCATTTTTGTCTTCTTTCTTGTCATTTTCATTTTTGTCTCCTTTCTGGTCATTCTCTGTTGTATTTTCAGAGAAAGTAACCTCATCACCATTATTAGTTATTGCAGAAACAGACAACAAGTTTTTACTGAGTTCAGGAACATATAGCACATTATTCAGGATACATTCTTTGGATTTTACAGTTCCACTCGTTGAACATGGTTTGATTTTTCTTTGCAACATATATTTCAGAAGAAATATTTTGTTTATTACTTAACAAATCTTCACAATTTGTCATATGTGAAGATGTGCCTGAATCAACAACCCATTCAGATACAAAGTTTACAGTCCCACTATTACCCCAAACATTTTGTCCATCATCATACGACAAAAAAGACACAGTTTTACTAGCGACATTTAGGTTCTGGTTTTTTCTAAAGTAACAATCTTTTTCATTATGATTTGACTTTTTACATATATTACAAAATAAATTTGGGTTTACATTTCTTTTTTCAAACTTGTTAACAAAATTTTTTACATTTCCACAGGTGTTTGCTAAATGACCAACAGCATTGCATTTAAAACATCGCCTTTCATTATCAGAGTTAGCCCAATTGTGTGTAGGTTTCTTGCAGTATTTTGCTTTATGGCCTGGAATTTTACAGTTGTGACAAACAACTTGGAATGCAAGATTTTTCTCTAGGCTTACCTCCTTTAACTCACTTCTTGACTCTTCTGCTAACAGTCTCGCTGTTAGATTTGCCAATGTCTTTTCTTCATTGGGCATTGATTCCCAGGCAGTTACAAAATACTTAAATCTATCTGGCAGACTGACAAGAATTTTTGATATTATCATTTTGTCATCAATATCTTGTTTTAACACATTCACTGCTAATGATATGTAATACTTTTATAAATGGCTAAAAAACATAAACATTAACATGATCATGTTAATTGAGTGACAATATATCTTTAATTAAATAAATTTTATACTATAAATTGTGGATTAAAATATTTTATGTAATTATATACATCATGTATTATATATCTGCTAATATACTTATGACGCACAAGTGCGTCATTAGCAGTGAACGTGTTAAAGTTTTTAGTCTGTGTGCTATGTTTTCAATTCTACTTAGGCCTATGTGAGAACTTATATCAGAATTAGGCTCATACCTGAGGTTAAAGAATTCTTGTAATAACGAGTACTTCTGCTGCTCCGAGTCTCTTTCATAAATATTACAAAGCTTCAAAAACATTTTTCTTGAGTTCTCACAGTTAATAATATGTAACATCGGTCCCTTCTCAATAGAACTAACTATACACTCCTGAGCCTTGGCATCTCTTTTAATCCAATCAGCCTTCTTCTTTCCATCGCCCATATCTTCAAGTTTCTCAGAACCGTCAACAATACTCATCAAATCACTGGATTGAAATATTATTTTAATCTGAAATTTCCACAATGGAAAAGTTTCAACTCCTTTGAGTTTTTCTACGAAATCATCTTCATTTACTGATGCCATTGTTAGTCTTACTTTTACTTTTTCACTCACCTTCACTACACTTTAACTCTTAGGGTTTTACTAGAAGATTACTTCTTGTTTTTACAGTTATGGTTGAATTAATGGATTTTTCTGGGCCCATAACCTGTTGACTTAAGTGAAAGTAAATTACTAACACCTAAGGTTTTTACTGTTACAATAATTATCTTGTTTTATTTTACTGAAGTACACACACAACATTTTTACTCAAAACATAACTTATTCAATAATTCTCATTACAATAAAAACAATCCTAACTATTTACACATGATCAGCTGTTACCAACATAAATTAAATTAAATACAGAACAAGTAACAGCAAACATATTATATAAAAATAAAATTACATTCAACACTGTTTACTAAAATGGCATAGTGTAATTATAGTTATAAGAATAGCTGATCATTCATTGTTGCAACAATTAAATGTAACAGCTAAAACAATTTGTGGCGTTCTCATTCATTGTCTCATCCTGCATAAGACATAACTACAATTCATATGTCTGTAGAAATACTTTCAAACTATCCAGCTTGGGATCTTTAGCAGGTTTAGTATTTAATTTATATGATCTACGGTACTGGTTACCCAAGACAATAATTTATAGATGACACGGTTAAATAACAATAGTCAAAACTATTGTCAAACTTACTGTTCTCCAACTAGTTGTCCAAGTTTTTCTACAAGTTTCTGTTTAGTAACCTGGGTTTTGCAAGAGGCCAGTGTGTAGTAACGTCCCACTACTGTCCCATCACAAACGAAACAAGTGAGTCCCTCCGCAGGACTTGCAACTCTTGTTACTGACGACATTTTCCTTGAAACAGAATTTGGTACATTTTCAAACATAGATGAAACGAAAAAAATTAATTTAAGAGTACAAAGTGAACTTCATTGCAACAGTTAAGATAGTTAAGGTAAACTATATAAATAAAGAAACAAATCTTATCAGATGGCTTGACAGCTGCCAAACACAATGAAAGGGTGATGTTATATGTGGCATTCTTATATCAATTATCATTAAAATATAAAGAGGAATGTTTACCTGTTACTATGAAGCTATTTAATAAATAGCTCCACAACTATAAACTGGGTCTAGATTTTTTCTTCCTTGGGATCTAACTGGGAACATTCGCATTTGAAGGGAACCACTAAAAGCGGTCTACTCTCCAGTCAGCTAAGTTAGGCCCAATTTATACCATTGACTTTATATCTACACAGTGTAGATATAAAGTCTATGTTTATACTATGTTGCACGAGCGCCACTGCTACTTGTTGCTCTGTAAGTGCATTGAGTCAAAGGAGGGCTTTTAGTCCATACGGCGCCCACCGCAAGTCATTGCATGCGAGCTTTTATACGCAGCACTGCCAATTCTTGCCCAACATGATAAGAACAAAAAATCCCAAAATGCATAAATTATTTATTTATTAACTTTAACCCTTTGAGTGGTAGGCCAATTATTAATACTTTGTAAGACTTTTTTGTTTACATTAATGTAAATGTAAGTTAAACAAAACAAAGATTCATAGCATATGTTTAAAATTAAGCCAATATACACAGTACAAAAGATAAACATTTGGATGATGACCAACTGATCAAATATACAGAGAAAGTATTACACGCCATTTGGAAACTACCACTGATCGAATAGTTACATTATTTTACAGATTATATTTAAGTAATATAAACTAGTACCTAGAACGCTATTCTGCGCGTAACGGGATGAGTGAACGTGAGCGCAGCAATGGAAGAGTCCACCCGAACCTAGCCTACTTACCAGTGTCACTGGTGAACACAATGTTATTTGTATGGGCAAATCAACCAAATCTCAGTCAACAACAATCCTAACTTCTCGTCCATTAATTAACCAAAGTCATTGGTAATATACGTAATGGATTTCCAACAGTTATCGATAGGAGGTAAATCCATCGTTCCTGTGTACAAAACGTCTTTTGATTAAATGAAGTCTATTTCCTTATTTGTTATGAGCCTTATCATAAACAAAACTAGGCCAAACTGAACTAATACTAGGTGGCATTCGCAGATGCATCCACAAAATTGAGCGGAGTCATCAAGGGTTCATCTTATATTATTTTTGTCATACTGCAGTAAAAACAGTCGTCATTGATCATGCGTTGTGGGTCTAAAGTAGCATTTTTAAACTTTAGGGAATAAAATTCGTTTTAGCCTCTATGGAGTAAAACTCAGCTGTTGTCAACTCAGTTGTAAATTTCCATTGCAAACGATTAATTACGTATCGAAATATGTAACGATTCGTGCTTCATAATCATTTTAACCTACAGTCTACAGTCTCTTCCCATAGCATTTTAGCATTGCAGATACATTAATCCATTCCCACACTCAACACTGCCCACCTTTCCTACTTCCTTCACCACCCCCTACGTCGTGGACCTGTTTCCCTCTCCTCCCATATCATTTTAGGATTGCAGATACATTAATGTAATTGCCAAAGACAGTTCCTTCACTCTGCACTGCCAGCCTTTACTACTTCCTTCATCACTTCCTTCATTCACTTTCCGTGGGGCCTGTTTCCTTCCCTTCTCATAGCATTTTAGCATTGCAGATACATTAATCTAGCTGCTACAAACGGTTTCCAGTTCCCAAACTCCACACTGCTCACCTTACTACTTTCTTTACCTCTTCTTACGTTGCAGACCTGTTTCCCTCTCTTCCCATAGAATTTTAAGATTGTAGATATCAAGATACCTTAATCTAATTGTCATAAACAGTTCCCACACTCCGAAAAACTCACCTTTACTACTTCCTTTATCCCTTCCTACGTCACGGATCTGTTTACCTCCCTTTCCATAGCATTTTAGGATTGCAGATACCTTAATGTAATCGTCATAAACAGTTCCCACACTCCGAAAAACTCTTCTTTATTGCTTCCTTCATCACTTCCTACGTCACGGACCTGTTAACCTCCCTTCCCTTAGCATTATTGGAATGCAAATACCATAATCTATTGGTCATAAACAGATCCCACACTCCGGACAGCTCGCCTTGACTACTTCCTTCACCACTTCGTACATCGCGGACCTGTTTTCCTCCCGTCCCATAGCATTTTAGGATTGCAGATCTCTTAATCTAATCGTCATAAAAAGTTCCCATACTCCGGACTGCTCGCCTTTACTACTTCCTTCACTACCTCTTATGTCATGGACCTATTTCCCTCCCTTTCCATAGCATTTTAGGATTGCAGATGCCTTTATGACGATTAGATTAAGGAATCTGCAATCCTCACTCCCACTCCGGACAGCTCGCCTTGACTATTTCCTTCACCACTTCCTACGTCGCGGACCTGTTTTCCTCCCTTCCCATAGCATTTTAGGATTGCAAATACCTTAGCACTTTCATTCTTACCAAAGCTCCCTACAATCTAATGGTCATAAACAGATCCCATACCCCGAACAGCTCGCCTTTACTACTTCCTTCACCACTTCCTACGTCGCGGACCTGTTTCCTTCCCTTCCAATAGCATTTTAGGATTGCAGATACCTTAATCTAATTGTCATAAACAGTTCCCACACTCCGGACAGCTCACCTTGACTACTTCCTTCACCACTTTCTACGTCTCGGACCCGTTTACCTCCCTTCACAAAGAATTTTAGGAATGCAGATACCTACCTAAATCTAATCGTCTTAGGAAAATTTGAAAATGATTGATTCAGCCGTTTAGGAGGAGTTTGCGTATTATGAAATGCATAAAAGTCGATGTATAAGAGCTTCGCTCAAAAAATTAACCTAATTGCCACAGCACGGTGTAAAGGAGTCTTCTTAAAAATATCATATGGATTGACGATATATAACACATACTAACAATAGCGCTATTATATCACCTAAAAATGATTAAAAATCCAATATTTTGTTTATCTAACTAATGAATCTAAATGCCATAAACGGTTCCTACACTCTGCACTGCTTGCCTTTACCACTTACATCGCCACTACCTACGTCGTAGACCTGTTTCCCTCGCTTCCCTCAGCATTTTAGTATTGCATGTACATTAATCTAACTGCCACAAACCGTCCCCACACTAAAATAAATAAAATAAAAACATCTTTATTAGCAAGCTTTTCTCTGATACATATCAGTTTTTCTGAAAAACTTTTGTCATTACACTACTGTACTTACAACTAAATATTTATATCTTTTAAATTAAAACTTTTTTAAACTTAATCTTAAAGGTATTGTTGGATGCAACGGTTTTTAGGCCCTCGGGTAGTCAGTTGTACAATGTGGGTCCGAAATATGAGAAACTTTTCTTTCCCAATTCCAAGGTGACCCTTGGAAAGTGCACCATGACGTGTCCTACGTTGTATGATCTCATCCCGGACAGAAAACCTCTCGCAAAGAGTCGGGCTCACGGAGAGTCAGTACCCTGTGAGTCATGCAGCACGTCAGAAACCTGCACATGGCTTCCATGGGTAACATCACGGCTGCTTCAGGGAAAGGGGAAACATAATCAAATTTTTTAAGGCAGAATACAAATCTGATTGCTGAGCTTTGAACTCACTGTATTCTGCACATGTCTTCCTTCAGTGACACTATTGTCATATGCAGGGAAGCAGTAGTAGACTACTGACAATATCAGTGACTGCATGAATTGAAGCTTTGCATCCTCAGGCAGCATACCTCTGAACCTGTACAGACCTCTCAATCTTCCTATTGCTCTTTGGGAGACATGCATGATGTGATCTTTAAAATTCAAATTTCTGTCAACAATGACGCCAAGAGTTTTGGCTTTGTCACAGACCGCCAAACTCCTGCCATCAAGATTGATGCTCCAGCCATTACCTCTTAAGTCTGGTTTACACGGGTCGAGTACTGGATACAAGTCAGTGTGCAAGTTGCCACTCGCTCTCTAACTCGCTTGGTGTAGACATGCAGGCAACGGGTCGAGCAACGGGAGAGTTGATAAAAAGAGGTCAGTTGAGCGCGAGTTGAGTCATTTAGTTGAAAACCGAGTTACTCGGCCCAGTAACTACCCCCACCACCACCACGATTTGCCCGTGAAACATCTGTTTACTGCCATCAAGTGAGTCCAGCGACAACAGAATTAAATTTTTTTTAATTTTATTTTGTGGTCGCTGAGTGAGTTGATCACAACGATCAGTATTGAGGTTAGTTCAGTAGTGTAGGCCAAATCAGTAATCACCCTCAATGCTAAATGGTTCAATTGGACCTGTGTTGCATTGTCTTGCTGTTCGTAAATCTATATAACTATACAGCCCGATGTGTAACTGACTGACAGGGGACAAATATGATCCCCTGTATAAATTATTAAATTATAAATCCCCTGATTGTATAAATTATGTATATGCTCATAATTTTTAAAATAAAAAGCAACTTTTGGCTGCCTATATATTTTATTTTAAAGAAATGCTGTATAGTTATTTGTAAGAAATCTTATTCTTTTCAGAATATCACCTTCCACTTTGGTCAATAACGTTTAAAAGTTATTTGCAAAAGAAAATCTTTTAAGCTAGGTACCTCTGAATTTTAGGGGTGATTCAGTTTTAATTAATCTAATTCAGTGATTGATTAAGTTATAAATTCAGCATTAAACTCTTGAAGTCCCATTTTAAACTCAAACAACATTTAACACAAAAGCTACTATAGAAAGCTACAGAAGCTATGTTACACGAGCTATACGGAATACCAAGGCCACCCTAGAGAAATAATAAAAATTACTTCTCTGTGCCTAGCTGTGTAAAGCGTGTAAAGTACAGGCCCCAAACAGCTACCTCTAGGAATGCCCCGTTTTTGACGAGGGATCAGATGTTTCACTACCC